GAGGGGGGGGCGGGCCCCTGCCGTCCCCCGGAGAGCAGCTGCCATCTGTCCCTCCGGAGCTGGAGTTTCGGCCCTGCAGCGGCCCCCCGGGACGCAGGCCCGGAACCGGGTGCTGCCCGGGAGAGGGAGCAGCCGTAACCGGGCGGGCTGCTGTCGGCCCCCGCTGCCGTCAGGGCTTGTCAGCTGCTCCCACCCGGCAATCGCAGTCTGAAAATCCTGGCAGGTTCTTTTTTCTTTTGCTGAGCGGGATTGACCTTTTATCAAACCATCCGGGATTCGTTTTCTTTTCACCTTATAAACCCGGATGGTCCCTGCTTAAAAGAGGACAGCTGGGACTTGGAGGTTGGCTGGTAGGAGCTGGAACCGGGGTATTGGAATTGTGGTAGAGAGTGTGAGATTCCTGGCGGTCCTCGCTGTTCTGCTGTCAGTCCCTCACTGTTACAACGTTTATATCACGAGCAGTGGAGAATAGGAAAAGTAACATGTTAAACCAACATGTTCCAACAGTTAATGAGGAAAACTTTGCTAAGCCTCCCACCTTATTGCAGTTAGAAATACTTTGTTGCTCCGTCCCTTAAATGCTATTTCATTATTTTTTAGGGTGCTATAAAAGGAAAGTTGCAGGAGCTGGGGGCTTATGTTGGTAAGTTTTATCATGTGTTTAGCAATCTTCTGTAGGTTCATTGTTGTTAGATAGGAAACAACCAGCTAGTTAATGGAACAGCATATTTACTTATTATTACTCATGTTACAGAGGCCTTGAGCATGAGATGAATTATCTGAAGTGCTGGACTAGTATGAAAGAAAAAGACTTACTTCACAAAATATGTATAGTTGAAGTGTAAGAGGAGGCAGTATGGGGGCATCCATGTATGGAGAACTAAGAGGAAATAACTAAGAAGGCTGTCTCCCCTTTCAAGGAGAAATGGTGGCAGGGGATTTGAAAGAAAAACAAACAATGATGTGTCTGTGAATATTTAAGGAAGTTTCTTTGAAGCACAAGGAGAAGCATTGTATAAAATGATCCTTGAAAATATAACAGTGGTTACCTGAGACCACTCTGAGATGGAGTCAGTCTTAGGCATCTTTTCAACAGCCTTTTGAATTCAGGATGAGACATTTGTCAAAATTAGGAGAAAGGATATTACTGTAAGGCAGGGATAGGCTGACTGGTTTAGGAGGTGTAAGGGCCATGTCAGAAACATTACGTAGGACGAATCTTCAAAATGTAAGAGCTTGAGTGTTGAGGAGGAAACTAAGAGCTACGTTAGGCTAATGTTGATGAAACATGTAACTGAATCGTAGAGGCAGGATGAGCTTTTATCTTGGATTGTGAGGAGAGAGATATGAGAAGTGTGAATGAATGTGTTTGTGGGGTTTTTTTCATGAATTCAGGATTAAATGGATATTGCACTTAAGAGCAGCTGGTTTTTGCAGCAGTAAAAGTTGATAACTTAACAGAGGTCTGTTGGAAGCAGAATACCTCAGTCCTGCAACTGGCTTGTTGGTTACTTCTTGGATTTGAGATGAAGGAAAGGAATTAAGAGCGTAGTTCAGAGATCCCATGAGTTGCAGGACCAAGTTCAAAGTTTGTAGTTTGATCTTGAATTCATCCTATTTCCTATTTAAAGAGGGCCGTTGTATTTATGGAATCAAAATGTATTGACTCCACAGAAGGGAGTTACCTATGGGCTGACACTCTGAACTCAGCAGGTGCCAAGGAACCGTGTTTGGAATTTTCTCACTGTAAGGTCGTCTTTTTTTCACCTTCTAAAACATTGTCTTTTTCAGTAACTCATTTTTGGTTTTTTACTGCCATTTCAGGTTTCAGTTTCTCAGTCCTTGATTCTTTGCCCGCTTTTCTCTGCATTTCTGAAAAAAAAACCCTTCCTTATTCTAATACCAAGATGCTGGCAGAATACCAGTATTCTTTGATTCCAACTGTAGCTGATTATTCTTTCTCTGTTTTTCTTTTCTTTGTGTTTCCTGTATTCAGAAGGCAGTTCCCAAGATCAGCATGCAATGTCTGCACTTTCTTCTCAGTCAGCTTCTGAACTTCTTTAAATAACTTTGTATTCTTTATCTCCAAGTCTGACTTCCCTTGGCCTCTCTTTTGTTTTTAAACCACTGTTTCCAAATTTCTGTCATTTTTCAGGTTTCTTTTCTTGACCAGACTATTTTGGACAACTTTCCAAGTAATGTTTTTCAAAAACTCTCTTCTTTTAGGTAACTGGTAAAAATCGTTTTCCCTCATTCTAGCCTCTGCAAGCAAGAACCATGCTTTTGTTTCTTTCTGTAACTGCTAGTTGTTTTCTTTTGAAAAGTCTTCTACATCAAGACATGTTGAAACTTATTTGTTGTGTAGAACTTACAAAGGAAAATTTCATATTTGTGAAGCAAAATAAAGATAGTTAAATATTCATCAACTATCAACATTTTCAAAAGGCTGTAGTTTTGCAAACAGTTTAAGTTGGCATAAGCCAACACAGTCACTAAGAGAAGCAGTTGTTTTCTGACTTTCTTTCTTTCTTCTATTGTACTGTTGCAGGTAATTGTGCTAACTCATGTTTTGATCTATATTTAAAGTATCTTCTTCTTTATCATGTTTTGAACCACCCAAGGAGCTGATTAGGTTTAAAAGTAGCTTGGCCAAAAAATAAACTTCATTCTAAGTTTCTAGATCTGCGTATGCATCCATCTTGTGCAACTTGTAGTTTACATTAAAAACAAAACCAGAAAAAAGTTAGTGTTTAGGCTAGGAACACGTTATGCTGAAATACTTGAATAGTGACAGTGGAGTGCGGGTGCAATGTATGAATGTTATTTCTGTAGTCTGGGGTACAGGTGAGTTATTTACAGGGTACATAGAGAGACATAGAAGAAAGGCAATTCCTTTGATTTGTATTTTGATTTCTATTTAAGATTTTTCAATTTTTAGGTCTTTTTAATGTTATGTACAGACTAAACTTGATGAAATGAGTACAGCTGTATTAGCGCCTTGGTTCAAATTCACAAATTGAAGAGGATTTCCCAACTGTCTTCACTTACTATTGTTAATGTTCATGTCATGGAGTGGTATTGGAAAGCATGAGGTGTTTGATTAAACTGCATTGAAATATGTGCTCCAGAAGCATACCTAACGCCCTTGAGCAACAAATGTGTCCCTCAATCCTTCAGAGTGGATCAGAGCTACGCCAAAGTAAAAAGCCAAATAGCAAACTCCCCAAACCCTTAATGTATTGATGTCAGATTCTGAGCACCTTCCTATCTATTCTGTGTGAGCACGGTGTATGAAATTGCATAAGCTAGGGAGTTAGAGAATCAGACTCTTGGGTTTGCTGGTTTGGCTTTTTTGTGTGGTGGTTTTTTGTTTTTTTTTTAAGGCCTGATATTAATTGTTTTTGTAGATGGAAAAACTGGAAGTTGATACAGTTTTGATTTGTTTTAATGCACAAATCTGAAAGGGATATTTATCTGTTTGTAACTATATTTATCTTTGTAACTAAAGGAAATTTGACAAGGATAAGGTGCTATATTTGGCAGTATTTGAAGTGATAAAATTGTAGGTGGTTGTAAGTGTTCAAGTAAAAGGATGTAGGCAGCAGAGTGGCTTTCTTTTATCTTGCCCTTCTTGTGTTTTATTTACTCACTTTTTAAATACTTTGATCATATCTTCAGCTTATGCTTTTGTGAAGCTGATGATCTTTTATTCCTTGCTGATAGCTGAAACTTGTATTGAACCTCTGAAGAAATGGTAGTCTCATTAATTTGCTTACCTTACATCTGCCTGCAGAGTCTTTATAATAAAACTGGAAAAAAAAATCTGGTTACATGATTAAGGATGCTTGCTATGTCTTTTATGATTTATTATACTTTAAACCAGCATATTTCTCTTTTTACTAGATGAAGAGCTCCCTGATTATATTATGGTTATGGTCGCCAATAAGAAGAGTCAGGAGCAGATGACAGAAGACCTTTCCCTTTTCCTTGGAAACAATACTGTCAGGTTTACTGTCTGGTATGTTTGTAAGCTACTTGTCACACTTCTTACCAGTAATCAGGACTGCTTTCTATAAGTGAAACCTGAGAATTTAAGAAGTTACTTATCCTCCCATTGTGTATTATACATTAAACAAGACTTTTACTTTGCAGGTCTAATAAGTAAATTATTGTTAGTCTGTCAGCAGTTAGGCTGTTGCAGTGATAATTAAGTGGCAAAGGACTGGAGGGCTTACATTCGTTGCTCTTGAGTCCAGTCACATTTTTGAATGAAGTGTGAAATGCTCAGGTAAGTGAGGACCATATGTTGACTTAAAAAAAAATTATTCCTGCAAAGCCCACTGTGAGCATGAGTGTTATTCACTGTAGTTAGATGTGAAATAGTTCTTCAAAGACAAACTTCTTTGCTTTTATGCTAATAGTGCTTCAGATTGCTGTTGTGCATGGGAATAACTATATCAGGACAGATGAGCAGTGGATCTAATTCTGTATACTGTCTTTGACAAGGCTTAGCACCAAATGCTTAGGTATTCCCACCTCTCAGAGTGTTTATTTATTACCACCACCCAGCTCTATAAAACAAAAGTAGAACTCCAGAATTATTGTGAGCAGGACAAATTAGCAATAGATGAACTCTTTTCTAAACTCCTGACAGTGTGGATTAATTTTTGCTATGCAATATGACAGCCTTAGCCATTATATATCTCATGCATTTTCTAATACTGAATTTGGCTTACAGTATAAACCTTTAATTAACTCCATGTCTCAGAGTATCCAAACAGATATTTCACTCCAGAGATTTCTCTTGCTTTCAGAGTTGTGTATTTTTTCAAGTTAATCTTATTTCTGAGTCTCTAACCTAATACAGTTTTAAGGAAAGTTATTTTGTTTTGTACACTTTTTCTGCTTTTTCAGTTTACTTCCTTTGAAATTTTCATACCAACTGGTTACATTCACTTCCAGTATTCCTTTTATGTGATTAGTCAAGTTCCCCTTTATTTGGTTAGGAGCTTTTATGCTATTAAATAGCAGAGAGAAACAATTTTAGAAGTATGTTATGAAACCATTAACATTGACAAAAAGTGAAAATTAGTTCCAGCTATTACTATTCACTGTATTAACTGTTTAAATGGATGGATTTCCATGTGACAATGTTACCTGTATGGATATAATTTGAGTTTGCTTTCAAAGTTTTCAATTTTTTCCTGGCATTTGTCAAAACTATAAGAAATGAGTGCAATTAAGCATGCACCCCTTTTTTAAAAAGTACATGGGCATTTATGTTATTTGTTCCCTCTTGTGGCCTGCCTAGGCAAAACTTTTGGGTTTCACTGTATCAGTAAGTCATGCCGTTGTCTTTCTCATAGTATTTTTGGGAATCAGTTAGACGAATCAGTGAGGTTTACAAGTTGATGAGGGTAACTCCAGTATTAGGGTTTTGACTGAATTGTGATATACAGTAAGAAATAACACAATAATATGTAGCAGAAAACACTTTTATGGTTTTGCAAATGAAACTAAAACTTTATTGAAAAAAACCCCCAGATGTAGAGAAAGCAAATTTCAGCAGGGAAGAGAAATCAAGATTTTGTTTTCTATATATACTTAGAACTGGGTATCAACTATACATAGATATTATACCTCCTTCTGTTTTTGATACCTGCTTAAATACCAAATGTAATGAATCTTTTATTCTCAGTTCAGTATCCACATTTGCTTATAAATACAAATTCCATTTCACAGAGCTTTATCAGGTAACAAAGTAGGTATTGGTTAAAAGAATGATGGAAAAGAAGATAAGATGAAACCTATGCAATAAGCTGTAAGAGGACTGGTGGAAAAAAGTTAAATAGCATTGTAGTTAGGAGTTTTATATGCTTTTATTTCTTTTAAAGGTGACCCAGAATGTTTACATTCTTAAGCATTGGGTCTCTGGCTAAATACAGTACTCGACAAGGTCTGCCTTCCTTGGTTTGTCTCTGTAGTTGGTAATTCAGGGTTATCTAGCACAAGTTTCACAACAATTCTGTGGCAGACCCGGCAATCCTGCTGGTTGGCTAACGCTTCGTACTCTGAACCAAGTGTCAGGTCACAGTTATCCAGAGGTCAGTGTGAAAACTGATACGCATCAGCAGAGCTCAGTTGACGAAACTTTTAAGAGCGTTCTAGTGAAAACTCACAAGCAAGTTTGAGAAGCCATCCTTATACTCACATGCAGTCTTACTCTTCCCAGTTTTCAATGTTTTTGTTCTTCAACTGCTTTCTAGTGCTCAGTCTAAATTACAGAGATGCCCCTGATCAGGTTTGAATTCCAAGTAGGATATACATTTAAGTGTTGGGATTTTTTTCTTTTTTTTTTTCTTTCTTTTTGCTGTAATGTGTGTTTAATTTTAAACAGCATTATTTTGTAGCCTTTTGATTTTTCTGTATTGCTTCAGCTTGGTGCCTTTTTCACTGGCAAATGGCAAATTTGGTACCTCGCTAAAATGTTTTTGCTCACCAGTATATCTCGGAGAATATTGTTGGTATACACAAAGCATGTTGGAAGAATCCTGTGTATGTTAGTCGCAGTGAATTGTATGTTGTTTAGGTTTGCATTTGCAATTACATTTAACTTTGCTGTGTAATTAAAGTTTCAGCTATACTTTGGGTTTCTAACTTTTTTTGAATCACTCCTTTTGAAGACAATTCACACTATTGATTGTAGTGGAACAGTGGAAAGTATTTGGTTTAATCATGTAAACCAATTAAATGCTAAAAGTAGATGATGTGATGAATACCTACCTGCATGTATGAAGTCTCACTGGAGGCAAGATATTTAAAGCCTCCCTTTTGAGGTTAAACATATGTCAATTGATGCAAAGTGAAGTCTTAGATAAAAGAGATGCTTGTTATAGGGGGGGAGAGGCAGTTGGTTTCTGAAAAATTATTGTTCCGAATGTAAGTTAAACTTCTTTTCTTTCTCCTTTTTTCTCTTTTGCTTTCTTCCCTGTCCCCCATCTATTTCAGGCTCCATGGTGTTTTGGATAAGCTGCGATCTGTGACTACTGGTAAGTAAGAAAATTAATTTTGAGTGAACGTAGGTTTATCTTTTCTGTGTAGTGTTGTGTGTCTGAAGAGTTCAAAAAAAGAACTTAGCTGACTGTTTTGTTAATTTTCAATTTATATGGTCTTTTGGGCCCTGACTCTTTAGAAAATTGCCTTCTGTTTTGAGATAAAGAATTTCTTTCTGAGTCCAGAATTTAGTTCTGGGTGTTTCTTGCTGATGTTTTCAGCTGAAACAGCTTTCAGCTTGTTGTGGTTTTAGATGTCTTGTTTGCTGTTTCTTAGCTACATTTACTGCAAAATCTGTATTGCTGTGCTTTGATGTAACAATGAAAGGTACCTGTCTCTGCAGAACCAACTAGTGTGAAGTCTTCAGAATCCAATATCTTTGAGAGCAACCTTCCTTCTGGCAAAAGCAGTTCATGTGTGAGTGATGAGAGGAGGCGTGAGGATAGCTTGCCACCTCTTGCAGTTTCCAGCACTCGGACTGAAAGAAATGACTCAAGAGTTTCAACTAGCTCACAGGAACAAAGGAACACTGCTTCACGGTAAAGGTTCTGGTTACTTACTGACACACGTTCAGGCATTAGTAGTTGTGTGACTATAGTAGTCATTCTGAAGAGCACAGATACTTGGAAAGATCAAAGTAGTTTTGGAGAGTAAAGCATTGCTACAATTTGTTGCATAAAAAACATTGAATCAGGAATTCAGCTCCATGTCTTTAAGCAACAGATGGGCTTAGATTAATTAACCAAACTAAAAATATCAATCAGTGTGTTAGATTTGTATAAACAATAATACCTTAATGATTCTTCCCTGCTGGCTTTGCTTAAAAGACAGTTTTCAGTTTCCAGAACTTTATTTGCAGATGAGTTAATAGTTGGCAATTTCTTATTTTATCAGGCAGTCTTGTGAAGATGGTTCTGCATCCCGCTTAACATCTACAGTCAAGCCTTTGAGGGAATTGTCACCTTCTGAAGCTGTAATTGACATTAAACCTGAACCAGATGATCTAATTGATGAAGACCTAAACTTCGTGCAGGAGAATCCTTTGTCACGGAAGAAACCTATTGTAACTGTAACTTATGGTTCTTCTCGTCCTTCTGCTGAGATCTACCGACCACCAGCTAGCAGGGGTGCAGATGGCAGTACACATGTGCACAGATTGTCACAGCAGGGCAACTTACAGGGGAGCCGGCAGTTAGACATGCAAAGCTGCAGGTCTTTGGAAACAGGCCAGCAGTGCAATCCAGAAGCATTTGGCAGCTTAGCAGAGAGTTACAGACCCACCTCTAAACTTAGTGCTGATAAAGTAGGCAGTGAGGTTAGTACGGTCTGAACTATTGCAATATTTTACACTTGCTAGGAACCTAAATTGCTCTGTACACTTCCAGTAAAATCTTGACCTCAGAAAAATTGAAGTACTTCTGTCACTGATACCAGTTGGTTTGGGATTTCATTCTTTGGGATCTGCTGATAAAAAGAGATTGCATGCTGTAACATCATCACCTGACAGGCTGCTGCATCTCAGGGTTAATTAGCTTGTACATCTCCATGCCATATGGAGTTGGACTGATGGGTTAGCAAGTTGTTATGATGCACGTGATGAATCAGAAATAATAATTTTGATCTCTAGATCAGACAGCATGATCTTCCATAAGTTCTGTGTAAATCTCCAGCTTTACACAGTTCTGTAAATCTGTATTTTTTGGATGGTGTTTATTCATATCTGTGCCAGATATACATTAGTCTCTAAAGCCCAGATATGTTGTTTATTAGGATTATCGTTATTATTATACTATTTAGAACCATGGCATTTAAGAACTCTTTGGGATGGGTGTTGTACAAGGACAAACTAGAAGGTGATTGCTGCCCTACATACTCTGGAGTCCAGACTACGCCAGGCAGGGTGATAGGCCTAGCTGATAGTTTTAAGACTATGCATACGAATCAGTTAAGAGCCCTTTGTGAGAGGAATGAAGCTTGTTATCGCTGCTAATATTGTGAGGAAGCAGGGATTTTACATACCTTGTATTCTAAGTCCTACAGATATTTTTTACTGCTTATATGTTCTCTGTCTTTGCCACTACTTAGTTCTGTATAAAGGACAGCAAATTTTATTTGGAAATCTAGAATGCTTTACAAAGATATGTGCTGATGTCTTTGGTTTTTAAGATGGGTAAGTGAGAATGAAAATATAGTGAGAATACAGTGATTTGTTTAAGGCTGTACATAAGTCATTGATGACTGATAGTCACAGCTCTCCTTGGAAATGTTAGAAAAAGGTCTTGTGATAATTTTCTTCTATTACTATTCCATGAATAAAGTCTAGAAGAGGGCTATTTCAGGAGTGTTTCTTAGAACTGTGGACCTTTACTGTATTCTGCCTTCTCTTAGACAAGTTTGTGTGCTTTTAAAAAGGTTATTTCTGTAGGTATTGGGTGTTTTACTGTACAAATCTTCTGTACTACTGTAGTCCAGGTGCATCCCTTAGGATATTTTCTCCTTGGAGGATCTAGGATCATTTAAAGGGTACTGTGAACAAACCTGGCATCCAGGTGCTTCATTGTGCTCATGTGTAGTTCAGTGCTGAGTGGTGGTTCCTACAGGAATTATTGACGTTGCTTTCTCCTATGCTTTCATGCAGCCTAGCATTTAAATTTGTCACTACCCCATGCACTGTGGTGGTGGTGAGTGGCTGTGCCAGAACAGGGACCTTGCACTGCCTAAACTGCACCATATAGCTATTGGCATCCTTTGGAATATGTCAGCTTGCTAGAAATTAACCCTTACACTAATCTGAAATTAGAGTTGATACAGAGGAGAAAGTCATTCATACTGATTTCACTTTATCAGACCTTCAACAGGTGCATCTTGAAGGGTAGTGTGAATTTCTTCAGAAAAACCTGCTTTTTCTGTAGATGTTGGATAAATTGTCTGTACCTTAGACTTTTTTCTTCTTTTCTAAACGTTATTTACAGTTACATTTTTAATTAGATGTTTCAGTGTAAATATGTCTGATTTTCATATTCTCTTGTGCTGTCACTTGTTTCTGGAGACAGTACAGTAGTCCTAAATTCATGCAAGTTGAATGGAAATTCTCCATCTTCTGGCTGTAGGTGGAATTGCAATATTTTCTTTGCTGGTTTATTAATACATGTTTTATGCTAAATAAATTGTTTTGGCTTCTCTGTTTGCTGTAGGAAGAAAGCTCCAGGAAGAGACGGTTGCCTGTTGTAAGCTCAGTCATCAAAGTGAAAAAGTTCTGTAATGATGGGGAAGATGAGGAGGAGGAGGAAGACTATGGACTGAGAACAGGAAGCATCTCTAGCAGTGTGTCTGTACCTGCAAAGCCAGAAAGAAGGTATTTAAGATCTCAGTGATTCTGTGTGGTTTCCAGAATTAATTTAATGAATAAAAATTCTGAAAGTGGAAGCTGGGGAAAACCGTTTGCAGTTTTGAAAATTGACAGACAAAATTCAGTAAGCCATTTTTATATTTTTTGTACTGTCTCACAATTCTCTGGGTGAGATGTCTGTTTATACCACCTTTTTTCCTCTGATTTTTGTAACCTGTTTTTGTTATTGTGCATAAGCTGCAATGGAATGTGAAATTTTACACTATTTGGCAAAAGAACATTAATGTTGGCTTGTTTCAGACAAGTATTTAATGTGGTAAAATAATTTTCCAGGAGTTTTAATTGTTTTTATTTTGGGAATAGTTTTCAAAGGAATTATCACTTGTTCTTTAAGGTGATTTTAACTTTTCAAAAGACTTGAGAGGTTGTTCCTTTTTTTCTGCTCCCAAATTCTGTCTGAATGTCAGGTGTCAGTCAAAGTACATCAGTGGTTTGTATCTGATTTTCAACAATAAGAGGAAAAACATTTAAACTATGGAAGAGGTGGCTCTACTGATATATAGTGCTAGCTTATATAAGATTTGTTTTAAGCCAATACACTTCACTGAATTTATCTTCAGCGCCACAGCACATGTATCTGATTTAAACTTCCTTATTGTTGATGTTCAAAGACAAACAGAACAAACAGAAAGCTTTTTTTTTTTTTTTTTTTTACAATGAATATGTTTTTGACAGAGTCAGTTTTCAGCTGGATCTGACTCCCCGGGGCAGCTGCATAATTACTAGTGCCAACACAAATGTAGCGACAGGCATATGAGGGGCAGAGGTGGGAAGAAATGAATGGCAGAGTTCGTGCCTTTCAAATGCAGCATGGTTTTACAGCAGCTTAAGCTGAGAGGTAAAATCACGCCTCTGGACTTCCATTTTTGAGAGTATTTTGTGGATCCCTGTCAACTCGGAGAATATATTAACAAGCTGAAAACAAATACAGATAAAGTGATTTTAGATGATGGTTTTTTTATATCAGTATTATGCATCACTGTGTTAACCTGTTGAAATGTCTCTGTTTATTGTGGATACGGTTGCTGTGGCAATTCATGTACAATTAATTATTTTTTTTATCTCCCTTAGACCTTCATTGCCACCTTCAAAACAGGCCAATAAGAATTTAATACTGAAAGCAATCTCTGAAGCACAGGAATCAGTTACAAAAACAACCAATTATTCTACTGGTAATTAGCATTATTTTTGTTTGTGCTAAGCTATAGTATTTCCAAGCCCTGTTTTATAAATCCAAGATAGTACTTAGAGATAAAACAGAATGTTAAATAGCTCATGTTAGTGATGCATGTAAGAGATTTTCCATGTCCTGTGAATATTACATTAATCTTCAGTGATGAATTATGAAAGCATAAACAGAGAGGAAAGAGTTGTTTAAAATACATTAATCAAGACAGTAAGTTTGTAAAGTGTATAGAGACAAAATAGAAGTGCCAGAAGTTTTCTGAAGTGAATAGCTGCCAAGAAGAAAGTGCTCAGTATTAGGCAGCTCGTTTGGTCTAATTCCTTGCTCTTTTTTTCCCATTCTGCACTCTCTTTTTTCCTTCTGAGAGAGGAGAAAAAAGCCAAACAGCAAAAAATCAAAATGCACTTGATATAGGTAATAGAAGTGCAAAAATAACAAGCAGCGTACTGGCTGATATATCAGCAGTGAGGCTGCAGTTTTAGTTCAAGTGGTTTTAGGTATCGCGTTGCAGTTGATACAGCAACTGAGCAGTTGCCAGTGGGTAGGCATTCTGTTCTTCTAGCTGGGAGAAACTTCTGCTGCAGAAGGGCAAATCCAGCTGTTATCTCATGTGCTTTCATTTCACTGGGTGGCAATAAATCTAGTGTTGTCAGCAGAAACATTGCACATTGCCAGGGAAGGAACGTTCACTAAACAACCTAAACCATGACTTTTATGAGATCTAGAGCAAGACTGAAAGCTATCCAAAATCTCTTCTCTGCTCTCTCTCAAAACCTGCAAACTAACAGTAAGAAACACGTATCTTCCTTCTACATTAACATATTTACAACATGTTCATTGTGAACTTCTTCCCTGTTTTCTTGTCATTACTTGTATTTTCAATATGCTGATAAGTAGATCTAAAGGCATGAGATGTGTATGGAATTTTCTCTGTTCAAAGGCTCTTGAATTGGAGGAGATGTCTGTGCATGTTAGAATAATATAGAATGTATAGAATTTATATCTATATACAAGATATAAAGTGAGCTGGTTTTAAAACAGAATAAATTGTATGGATGACTAATAGAGATCATCGCCAAATTTAGAATTGAAGAAAAACTAAGAATAGTTCTAGTAAACTACTGAATTGCTTGACTACTTAAAAATGTATTTCATACAGTAAATGAACTAAAAAAAAAATTATGTTTCTTCATTAATAGCAATTAACGTACATGCCTCCCAAGCATTAAGAGCTTGTCTTCATTCTAGATGATGAGCAGAATTAGCAGTTTAAGAAAAGTTGGAGGAGCACTGATACTCCTAAGTTCTGATGCTAGTTATCCATCAAGGAGTGCTTATGGTGAAAAAATCAGCAACAGAGGAAACATTACTCTGAGGTGACGTGGGAAGCTCTTTCCTGTGTACATAGCAATATGGCAGGAAATAGAACAAAGCCAGAACATTTCAAAGTTAATTAAAACTATTGATTTTTAACAGTGGTGATCCTGTAGTTAGGCTTATCAACATGAGAATATTTCAGTGGAGAGACCAAAACCCACCACTTTGTGGCTTAATACAGAGGTGATTTGTGAATTTTATCTCAAGTATCGTGCAGGTCTTCCACTTCAGAGGTAATATTTCATGTATTTTTTTTAAGTATTTTGAATGGAATGTGGAAATAAGATCATCTGAAATACAGAGGTAAAACAAAATGGTAGGATAGTAAATGATAAAATCCAGTACTGAGTGGTACCTTTTACTTGTATGTGTCAGAAGTTGAGTGCTGATGTGATATTCAGCCAAGGGAAGAATATGCTTAGCTTTTCACAACCACTTCTGACGGTCTTAGCAGAAGCCAAGTAAAGAAGTCAACCGTCGTCCTGCTACTCCCAAATTCCATGCTACAGCTGTCTGAAAGGAGATTGTAGCAAGGCGGGTGTCGGTCTCTTCTCACAAGTAACAAGTGCTAGGATGAGAGGAAATGGCCTCAAGTTGTGCCAAGGGAGGTTTAGGTTGGGCTTGAGGAAAAATTTCTTCACTGAAAGGGTTGTCAAGCGTTGGAACAGGCTGCCCAGGGAAGTGGTTGAGCCCCCATCCCTGGAGGTATTTAAAAGACGGGTAGATGTGGTGCTTAGGGACATGGTTTAGTGGTGGAATGGCAGTGCTAGGTTTTGGACTCGATCTAAAGGGTCTTTTCTGACATTAATGATTCTGTGATTCTACTGTCGTCGAGTTTTATGTTCTGTTTGCAAGCATAGGGTAGCTGGCACTGTATGAAAAGTACACATTGATATTCCGTGATTGTTTATGTGAAAGGTGGAATGAAAAGTGATTTCAGTATCATAGAAAGTACCAAATTAATTCTGTATAGAAGTGGATGAATGAATACTTTGCTGATGTCACTCTCATCCTTCTAATACTGTTTTGACTTACAAGTAGATGTTCTGAGGTGCCACTCAGAGTGCTCTATGCATATGCACGAATGTGCTTTCACGCTAAGAATTTTACAGGTAGCTAAAGATTATTTTTATGGAGACAGGTGCTTAGGATTTTTTTTTTTGTGTGTAGGAATTTATTAGAGTTATTTTAGCACCATATGTAAAAATAATACTGTTGTGTGACTGGGTTGTATGTAAATGATTTGTCATTGTCTGTTTATTTAAAGTTCCACAGAAACAGACTGTTCCAGTTGCACCAAGGACTCGAATTAGCCCAGAAGAATCTCAGTTAGAAGTAATCCATGTGCAAAACAGACTGCCTGCTCTGAGTTCTCAGCTTCAAGTAGAAGAGCCAAAGGAGCAGACAGTTGAAGGAATTCAAGGTCATCTAATAATGCTCTTTAAAAATTTCTACCAGGGAATGTCATTTTACAACAGGCTGAGCAGAGGAAAGAAATACTTCTAATTTTTAAGTCAGCATCAAAAGTTGCAGTGGAAATGCCCTAAAAACCAAGAAGCTTTCTAAAGCATGTCTGTAACATCCCCAACCACCCTCGTACACCCCCTACGCTCCACCACCACCCCCCCAGCAAAATTAATCAGTAAGCAAAGGGTGGTATAGCATTCTGGTGTATCATGGAAGAATAATTTTGCATAAACAAATGCAGTTAGCAAATTTGTCCATTTATATTGGGATAACTTCTCTTTTCCCCATCCTTTGCATTTTTTCCTTAATAACTTGTAGGAGTAATTCTGTCACAAAGCTTATGTGAGAGAGTTACGATACTCTAAATTTGGAATAATTTTGCAGCATATGAAGTATTAAAAGATTCTTTTTGACATACTGTTACCACACAAATAGTTCTAATGTTTTATTTTTTTGTGTAAATTTTGGAGTACTATATTTGCTGTTACAGGACAGATGATACCAGGATAATGGTGTGAACAGTCAGCTTTCTTTTTACTTCTGTTATGAAACTCGTGAAGGAAAATGGCATAACATTTAATGGCAATTAAACTATCTTTTACTCATGGTTTTGTTACTGTTTCTGAAACAATGAGAAAGGGGTTCATAACAATGAGAATGGCTTCTTTTTGTTAGAAGTGTGGAGGGTTTTGGTGTGGTGGGGTTTTCTTGGTTTGGTTTGTTTTTTTTTTTCCAAAGGAATTAGAAGAGTATGCTTCAGGTCTTTAATCTATACTTTCATTTTGACATGCAGTAAAATATGCTTCTAATTACTGGGTTTTTTTAGGAGCTGAACAAAAGGAGCTCTCTTCTCGGCTCCAGATTGATCCTGTAGTTGAAGATACCTTACAAGTAACTCAAGGTTAAGTCTTGTGATCTTTTCTAGTATTTCCTAGTTTTCACATCTTTAAGGATTAAAAGCATTGTATCAGTAGGTGCTAAAAGCCTAAGAGAGTTTGGGGGTGCGTGGACCCCTTCAATGCTATTTCAGCACAGCCATTCCAGTAACAAAGTTTCTTGGTTTGGCCTAATACGGCCTGTGGCTCCTGTTGATCCACTTCTGTGGAATAAGCAAGGAAGTAAAAATGTTTTCTGGGAGCTACTAGTAAGAAATTAAACCAAAATAAAATTATCTTATCGTCCATGTAAATTGATATTAAAAAATATGCTATAAGTTAAGAGTACAACTACAACCTTATTTGTCTCTTTTCTATGTGATTTTCCTCCCAATTCAGATTACTATGATGCAGAATCTATGGTCCATACAGATACTAGGTCATTTATCCTTAAGAAGCCCAAGCTATCTGAGGAAATGGTGCCGCAGAATCAGCAACTGGGGAAGAGGGCTACAGAGGCAATACGAGTACTCTCAGGGCGTCTAATACAGACACGGTAAAAAGTTATTACTTTCAGGAGTGTTATTAGTCAGAAAGCTTGGTTTTGGTTTAGGTGGAATCATTCCGTCGTACTTGTGCTTTGTCAGTCCAGTCAGGATGATCTGTGACATCATGGAAAATGGACTGGCATTGAATAGCAGAGGAAAAAAATCAGGGGATAAAAACCTCCCAGAAATCCTTCTAAGTGGAAAAGTATTCCCAGGCTCAACTGCAGCTTGAGAATGTCTTTGATTTGCAAGAAAAAAGAAGGAGGAACTGAAAAGTGCTTTTTATTGTCATAGCTGTTCTGATTTCTGAAATCTTAGTTAAGTAGTAATTTTGCTTAAATTGCCTTTAGTTTTACACCTGTTTCACCCTGAGATCATGTTTCTTAAGAAATGTCTTTTAACGCAGTATTGAGTGTGGTGGTTCCTGAGCTCTCACTGCTGGAGGGAAACCAGCATGTTCCGCATGCAGGTAGCTCAGTACCTGTAAGCCAACAAACAGTGAAGTGACACATGGGGCAAGTGATTTAAGGCTCCTTACTGGTGAGCTTGGCCGAGAGAAGTTTAAAGTTCACGTCAGCTTCAAATGATGTATTGTGGGTGTTCTTCCATTTCCCCAAAGGAACAATGGCCAGTGCACAGTCATTTTCTTAACTTGTTAAAGGCCTTGGTAGTGTCTTACCTGTTAGAGTTAAAAACCACTCAGAACGATGTGATGTACTTCATCACTGTGGGTTGCTGTGTTTGAGAAATTGTTAACGTTTCCTTTCCGTGAGTGGCTTTAAACAGCCCATGTTAATTAAAAATAAAACCGGCAATGAACAAACAAGCCCAAAAGGGTAACCTTGCAATGTCACATCTGAACTGTGACTGTGCTACAGGATAGTGGTAATTTTTTGCCTGTGAATAGATCCATTTTTGACAGCTTGAAACTTGAAAGTTCTGGCTAGCGCTGCCTTTAATGTGTTGTTTTTCTCTCTTCTTAAAGGCATTCTGCACTGTAGTTGCTTTTGGCCTAACTTCATAGAGAACAAAGCTTATACTATCACTGTCAAAGTGGGGACTCCATAGTGCACTTCCAAATACGTAGAATCACATGCCATTCAGGCAATCCCTTGGGTGAAATGCGTGGGACAGCAGAAGAGTGGAGAAAACATATGCATCCTCTGTTTTTATACTCCCTCTTTTATCCACATTGACTGCTATCAGATACAGGATACGAGGCTAGACTGATCTTTCGATCAGGCTGAGCATCAAAGTTCTTAGTGTCAGTATTTCAATTCTCTCTTCCTAGCCCTAAAAACTTTCACATCCACTGTTTCATAATGCTCTGTATGCTCTGTTCAGTATTTTTGAGGAGACACTCATTTTATATGTTAAAAGGCCCGTGATTCCAAGAATGGTATCTACCCTCAGGTTTTTTTGTCTCGAAACTGTAAATTCCTCAAAAGATTAATCTCTTTCCTTTATTTAACTGTGTCTGTAAATGACCTTTTGGATCTATCTGTTGAGCAGAACACAAGAAACTGAAACTTACCTGCCAAATTCTCTGTTGTATGCCATTGAAAGCTGTGTATCTTATTAGTTCTTCAGAGAGACAAGAAGGCAAACTGTTAAATGGAGTACAATATTAGTAGTATTAAAAGAAGGTTTGTTACTGTGCGACTCTCCATAGATTAGCTTGTACTACTTTTAGCTACTACGGCAGCTCATTTTTACTCAAACCTCTGGAGTCAGAAAATCTATTTTTACTACATTTCTTTGTTTTATAGAGACCAGCTTGCACAGCCAGAGAAACCTGCTAGTCCCAAGTTCATTGTGACACTGGATGGTGTGCCTAGCCCACCAGGATACCTTTCTGATCAAGAAGAGGAAGATATGTGTATAACTGAAGGATTAAAGCCAGTTACCCAAAATATGTGTGCTGGCAAAGGATTAAAAGGCCTTCGAGCACAGCAGATGCAAATTGTAACCAGACAGCTAGAGAGCTGTGATGGTAATTATGCTTACCAACAGGATCTAACATTAATGTGGTGGTTTGACTGTGGATAGAACTCTTGGATATATCATTCTTAAGAGATCAAAGTGATGGTTTTTGTTCTTCAGATTAGAACATTCTTAGGCAAATGAAGCGTGGTAGTTTAGTGGGGCCATATCTATAGAAGCCTCTGTCTTGATAAACCAGTGCAATATGGCACAGAGGTAATTCTCCACACATCTCAGTATTGATGAAATTTGGTGGGTTTTTTTCCTTTGAAAGTATAGTTTGTCTTCATTGCCAGAAATCTGTGCTTCTTGTTGACCCATTATCTTGCTGATGGCCAGGAGATTTTATGATTAATGTCTTGCTGTGCCTTGAACTTTAAAAAATAAATCATTTGGTGTTAATGTTTCTGTCTAGATCCGTGATATCGAAAGGAGCCTGTTAAGTGTAAGGTGCTGGTAGATTCAAGTTGCTAGGATCTCTGAAAGTAGAACTTAAACAGCGTATATTCAGGATACCTTTTGACTAACGTGGGAAATTGCTTGCTGAAGCCTGTGTTTGAATTGTTTAGAATGCTGAAAGGGTGATGAAAAATACAGAGGATATGGTTTTGTCATAGACCTGTTGAATACTTGCCTTAAGGTCATGCTTGGATTCATTTTTTTTTTTTTACTTTTCTCATGAAAAGATCTTTATTTTCCATAGTATCAGTGCATCCAAATTTTCTGAACTAAATAAAGAATAGTATTTGATGCTATACAGAGAACTTAAATGTCATTGATCCAGCTGTAAATGTGCAATGCAATTGTGAGAGAGCCATGGGGAAAAGCAAAGGACCTTTTAAGTCCATGTCCTTTCAGTCCCACTGGCTTCAGAAGTGCTACTCATATCAGGTAGTCTTAAAGAAGAAAGGAATGTTATATATCCGATGCACATTTTTGCTAGTACAATGAAATATATACTAAAGTGCTACCCTTGCAAATCTGTGCTTTACTGGTATAGTCTCTTTCATACTCCTTACTAAAGCCCTTTGGCACAGGAGGATCTTGCTGATACCATCATATCTCTGTTAGGGATTCTTTTGTGATTAGCTACATCAGTCACACCTGTGCTACTTCTGGCTAAAGTTCACACAGAATCAGGTCAGTGTGGAAGTGGTTTGTACAAGCAACGTGGTTTTACGATAGGATAGCAGCATTTGGGTTCGGTGTGTTGCTAGGAGGAGGCATAAATGAGGCTGAGGATGGAATGAAGCTGGAGCAAGTGTGTCACTCATAGGGTCAGAGAGGTAAGCCTAGCAGTCCTGGAAAATTTGGGGGAAAAAAAAAAGTCCTGGCAGATTTGGGAAAATAAGACAACACTGAAGGTGTATTCTTAATTGCATGAATTTGCAGAAGGAGGTTTTAGAAATAATGTTGAATAGGAGAAAGTCAAAGTCCCAGGTTCCCATAAGAGTGGTGAAGGTGTTGAATGTTTCAGCTGGAAATTTCTTAAAATACTTTTTGGATTGGAGTCTGGGTTCAGGTAATTGAGGTGAAAGTAGTATCTGTCTGAGCAAATTACATGAAAGTAGTTCTTTTTTGGTGTGTGTCCCCATACTAATAAATCATATCTGATTAGTGTAAAAATTGATTTCTTACTTTATCTCTTGAAATAATTTTCTGGAGCCAAAAATATCTTGGAGGAAGGAAGCATAGCTATTATTAACACATGGCTCAGTAGAACAGTTGTAACTAAGGTTCAGTTGAAGAATCTTTGTCTTGTCTGATGAAAATCTGGTCTGTTTGGCTTTCACACCTCAGTTTGGATTTGTGAAGAAAATTAATTTATTTTGCTTGTAAACTGTGCAAGTTTGATCTTTTATCACCAAAAGGCAGCTGTCAGTCCAATATTATGACTTCTTTCACTTAGTAGTTTTGGAAATGTTCTTCAAGTAATATGATTGTACATAAATTCTTACTGTCATGACTTTTGATTAATTGAGGCTTATCAAGAATTGGGTTAAAAGGAGAGAGAGAGAATAGGAAATATTGTGAATTTCAGTTATGCTATATTGTGTTTGCCAAATTGCATATAAAACCATAAAGGTCCCAGCTTGGGTTTTTCCCTTTTTTTCTTTCCTTCCTAGTGGATATGGAACAATTAAATATGCTGCAAAAACAGGAGAAGGTGCTTGAGCGCTGCAAGTACTGGCCTGCCTGTAAAAATGGAGATGAATGTGTGTACCATCACCCCACGCTACCTTGCAAGTGAGTAGTGCAAAGCTCATCCACTTGACCTGTTATCTTTACTTCAGTGCTACAAATTTCCCTTCTGCGTTGGCAAATATTCCAAGGCAGTGTAGGGTAGGGGTCACAGCTAGATTATTGCGCTGTAATTTCTTCTGTTTTCCTCCCACCTGCCACATGTCAGAATACAGTGATGTTTTTAATAAGCAGAGTCACAGCTGTGCTTAGTTTAGCACACAGGCTGGTGGTTTTGTGTTGCTAAGAGGTGTGGGAATTGGCGGTGTCTTGAAATAGGAGGCGCTCTACTGCTAGCTGTCAAAATGCTTCTGAACATGTTAGGGTACCATTACGTGGTAATGCAGTAATTTTTTATTTCAAAGCAAAGGCCAACTCTTGAATGTGTGCTGCCTTTGACTTCTCTTCCACAAGCAGCAACAGTCTAGAAAAATCATTTCTGTTTCGAGATAAATGTTACCAGATTGGGTGGCTTCATTTACACAGATGTTTGCATTTCCTTTTAAAATCTGACATAACTAAATTAAAAATAACACTTTCTCTTCAATAAATGAACTGTATTAGTGAGTTCTGTGCCCCTCTCTGCAAAGCTCTGAATTCACAGTGCCTTTGCTGCTCTGCCCCACACACGAAGAATAACACCTCTTGGTTTGCAACAAGTAGCTTGCTACCGAACTCCACTGAGCGTAAGGTAGTCTGGTTATTTACCGCATGTAACGAGTGTCCACAGGGAAAACGAATGCAGATCTGTTTGTGTACAGCTCGTACGCTACACCCGCACGCCCTGCTTTGGAAGTAACTAAGGAACATGTGCAAGCCCTGTTGTGGTCCGGCTTTCTATGATATCCTGGCTGTCATGTGCAACAGCTGCCTGGGGATTTTGCTCCGAGTATGGGCTTATGACTTCATTTCTTTCCCCTCAGAGTTTTTCCCAACTGCAAATTTGCTGATAAATGCTTGTTCATCCATCCGAACTGTAAATACGATGCAAAGTGCACTAAGCCAGACTGTCCTTACACTCATGCCAGCCGACGAACACCCCATCCACCTCCTAAACCAGGTGAGCACCTCTTGTTTTTCTGAGCTTTAAATGAAAGTGCTGAAGGGAAAGCAGTGTATTTGGAAGCTGACCACTGACTGAGGTGAAAAAAAATTTTTTGTTTGATTTGACTTAATTTTCTTTCAGCTCTTAATGCTAGATGAAGAATAACAATTGAGTGTTAACTGCAAAAACCATTATCAGAAAAATCCCTGAACGCTCTTGCATCCGTATGAAATCTATGCAAGGCCAAAGTGGTGACTTGCACAAGCAGTCCCTTCTTCTGGAGGGGTCAGCCAGCATTGCAGTTGTACTCACATTTGTTTCTTAAATTGGATACGTGCTGTAGCAAGAGCTTGTGTCACAAATTGAAAACTGAGGTTTCTCTGCTTGTGTGAATGTTTTTTTCCTTAGTGACACTGTAGGAGTTAACTTTATGGAGCGAAGCGGTGACTTTCGGGGATGAGGTTACCTTTTGGTGGAGGGCCTTCGCTCCACTGAAGTCATGATCTTTAGGAACCAGTTTAGCCCTTCGTCACAGTAGGGTGCAGTTTTGTTCCTTTGCCAGAAGGCAGGGGACAATGTGCTTATCTCCCCTGTCCTTTCCAGCGCTCCCGTGTATTCCTGGAAAGTGCCTTGCCTGCGCTTTTCAGTCCACTTAGCTTGAACTCTGACAGGCTTGCTGCTGCCAAAATTTAACACTTGAATGTCTCTGCCTAGTGGGATCTCTGCTTAATTTGTTGGAGGCATTGCCATGACCATGGTACCTTCTGTCCTGAAGCGGTGAAGAACCGAGACTGAGATTACCCGGTAGTCTTGGTCTTCCCCAGGGCGAGATCTGCTTCTGCACTGCGATAGGCCTCCCATGTTTCTTGCAGAACTTTGGTGTATTACAAAACGTAATTTCTTGCAGAAGGATTGATATATTTAAGTTTGTGTGGAACTATATTTAAAAAGCAGTTTATTCTGCCCCAGGCTCACTTCCTGTTCTCTTCTTTTCTGCTGTTAGCACCACTGCCCGCACCGTCTGTATCCTCCAGTAGTCCGCTGTGCAAGTTTTTTCCTGCTTGTAAGAAAATGGAATGTCCATTTTACCACCCAAAAGTAAGCATTATCTCTTATCTCTGCCCTTCCTTTCTAGAAAGATACTTGAAATTTGCTACTTTGGGTCAGGAAATGTCACTAGCTTTTCACACCTTTTGCTTCTACTTTTCACGTTTTAAACTTGAGCTCAGAAAGAGAATATGCAAAAGCAGTGACTTAAAAAAATTGGAAAAGTATGTTTTTAAATAATCCTTCTACCAGATGCTTCTGGGGAGTTTCAAACAGGCCGGCAGCCATAACACTTGCCAAAAATCTGCCCAGCCAGGATGCTGGGGGCAGAGGAGGAGGACGTCTCGTAGCCTATATGGAAGGAATATGTTTCAGACTCCTTCAGATGTGCAGCCATATACAAGAACTTTAAAGATTGCCCTGGAGTATGTGAATGTAATTTATATAGTACAAGAGTTTATAACTCGGGTACTGCTATTCTATTGCACTGCGTCCCTGCATATTCTTAGGCCAGCAGGTTTAGTGCTTTTTCAAGCCCCAGGAAGCAAAACTGAAGAGCACTGGGTCCCCAAGACTCTGTTCCCAGCTGGTCTTAGCCAGATACTCTGGCTTTTCCCCTGTCTTTCAGCTGGTGCTGTGTCACGCTCCTAACTTGTATGGACAGATCAACTGACACTGCACTCTCTAAACCCTGAAAAGCAAAGGAACTTCCACCTGTCGGCGCAGTGGCAGTTTTGGAGCATCTACCTCTTAATCAATACTTTTTTCAAAGGATTTCCTCTGTCGTTGGGTTGAACTGATTGCACCAGTCTATGGAGCTGTTGATTCAGTTTTCTATTGATCAGATCTGTCACATAGTAAAGCCAATGTGCGTGCCGCACATTCGAGGTTAGCTTGGTCAGGAGTTCAGACAGCTTGGAGTAGCCTCTTCTGAAATGCTCTTTCTGAAATGTTTTAGCATTGCAGATTTAATACCCAGTGTACAAGGCCAGACTGCACTTTTTACCATCCAACTATTGCTGTACCTCCACGCCATGCCCTGAAATGGACTCGAACTCAAACCAGGTGAGATACGTTTTTCTTTTTAATTATTTTTCTCAGTTAGGTTTAGAGCAAGTGTTGTGACTTACATCGCAAATGTCATTTTACTCACAGGAGTAATGTGTGTGTGATGAGCAATGAAGACTGTATGAAGAAAAATAGCTGTTAAAGGCATCTGTCCTTTAAAGAGAACCCTGTACTGTTTGTCCTTGGTAGTATAAACATGATGTGATGCAACACTGAAAAAACAGTGCCCCGCTGCTGGGATATGGCGGAGTCACTGGAATCCTGACCTGAACATGCTGTGTTTTCCGAGTTTTATTTGAATAAAGCTGAAAATCCAACAGCAGCTCTGCTTCACTGTGGTTTTAGCTTGTGTCCAAGCTGTCTTTTCCACAAAATGTTCAGATGTTTCTTGGAGCATTCCTGGCAGGACAGCTCATGCCTGTCATCGATCCGTGATTTCATAAACCGGCAGCAAACTTCCCAACGCTGCCGTCAGGGTCTGTCTTACAGACAGTCACACCACTGGAGCCTTTCACTCTAGCTGATCTCATCTGCAGAGGTCTTAATCGTTACAGGGATAGGATGCAAATTAGTTCCCAAATCGTCTTTACAGAGTGGTAGGATTGTTACTTACGCAAATTGTTCTTCTCTTTCCCCTCAGTGAATGATTATGATACAACTTGGGACTAAACCCTGCCTCCTTGGGACAGCAGCAGAAAGGAAGATTGACCACCAGGGGCACAGGATGTTGGAAAAATTCATGCATTTTGAACTTTTAATATACATTGTTTTCATAAAATGAGGTTGATTGCATACTTGAAATGTCTCTAATTTTCCAAGTTTGTAAGTTTGAGCAATTTTACATTTTTTTTACACTGTAAGAAGAAAATGTCTGTGTAAGAAAAGTTTTACTTTAAATTCCATTAAAAACTTTGAAAGCACCTTTGGTGTTGTACCATTTGGGTAATGTTTCTTGCTTAAGATTGGGTGTGTTGACAACGTAAGTAAGTGTAGCGTCAGAAGGTCTTAGAAAGCTTATTCCCATAGTCGGGTCATACTAGGCATGCTTTTTGTTCCGCAGTACAACTGAAGCGGTGTCCTAGCACCGACTGAACTCTTCACCCGTTCACAGGGAAAAGGAGGGGAAAGGGTTTGTCTTTTGGGTATTTTTTCCAGGTAGTAAGTCATTGTTACCCCGACACATTCTCAAATGGGGAAAAAACAAAGACAAGGGGACAAAAAAAGCAAGAGCAATTAAATAGTGGTGCACTCCATTTAAAAAGCAATTAAACACCCCTTCCCTTGAAAGTAAATGGTTTCCGATGCCTCCACTTATAGCAGGAGAAGAGACAGTGCCTCTCTGAATTGCCTGCTGAAGAATCCTTTTCTCTTCCAGTACACCTGACTTTGTAATTATCTCCTTTGAGACAGTCCCAGTGACTGACTCACATCGCAAAAAGTCATCCCAGGAGGTGACCACAGATACCTTTAAGTGTTGTTATTATAATGATGAAAAGTGTTGAGCAGTAACATAAATGCACTTTTTTATTAAATCTTTTATATCTTTTGGGGAACTACATTTTCGCAAAAATATACAAAAGAATTTATTTTTACAAATATTTACATTTGATATCAGAAAACAATGTTAGCTACATATTTTAAACTTAAATTTGACAAATATAGTCTTGAATGCTGAAACTTAACACTCCAGGAAAGTATTTTTAATTTTTTTTTTGTGAAATAAAGTACTCAAAGTTCATATTCAAATTTAAAAAAATCTTAATTAATGCAAAAATCTGACATTTAATTCTTTTATATATGTATACTTTAAATAAACATACAACATTGTTACAGGGATTAGGTGTCATGGTGGAAACCAAAATGGAGCACACTTAAACCCATGATCCTTATTACAGTAATACATGACCGTACCTGTGGACTAGTTTAAAATACTTTTTTTTTTTTTTTTTTTTCCTTTTTTTCCTTTTTGTTAAAGCGCGAGGGGTCCTCGGACACACTCCATAATGAAACACAACACATCTGAACAGACAACTGGAGTTTAAGCTTAAAGAACTACAGTCAAATATTTTCCTAAGGTGACCGGACAGGGGAGAGGCAGAAGAGAGAATGGGCTCTCGCGTTGTATGGAGCAATGCTGAGATGAATTTCCAGATGAAAGACTGCAAATTACATCCTTTTTCTACAGAATTTTCCAGTGCCTTCAGTAGCTGTCCCCCCCTTTCAGAAATAGCTGCCACCGTGAAACTATTCTCCTTTTCAGTGTGAGATGAGGAGATAATCACTTGTAAGGGCAGCAGCAAACTTGTGCTCCCGCCACTGCTGAACGTCAGCAGCGTTGCTGTTTTGTAACCTGCTGTACAATGTTTAGCATAAGGCGAGCTGCTGATTTTTCTCAGCTAAAAAAGAAAAAAAAGAGTGAATAAACTAAGCCACAGAGCCAATAGTGTCTGTGTTTTCAGAGGGAATGGTTCTAATGCATTCGCCGAGACGGTTACATTACTTCAAGTGGTCATTGTGGTCTTGAGTCTATTCTCATGTGGAATTGTACATTAAAAACGCATTACCTCGCTTCACAGGTCAGTAATGCGGCCTTTCTGTTACTTCATATAGTATGCTGTATTCCTGTAACTGAACTAAAGAGCCTAAACAAAGCTCACAATTACCAGATACTGCTTAAAAAAAAAAAAAAAAAAAAGCTATTTCACACCTAAAAACCACAACGCAATGATAGAGCAGCAACAAGTAAAGGAAAAACAGCCCAGACCTGTGGAAAGCACTACCCACAGCACCAACATTTCACAAAAGTACAGAAAACCAGGGGTTGGTTTTTTTCCATGCAATTTGTGCCTGTGTTCATGCTTGGAGTTTCTTTAGAAAGTTATTTATTAAATTCCCAAGGAGTCCAGTATAGAGCATGTCCTGGGTGCGACTGGTGTTTGGGAAAAAAAAAAAAAAAACCAAAATCCAATATAAAGAGTTACGGAACATTTACAGCTCCATAGCTGAACACCACATACTCCGATTTTTTTTTAAGAAGTCATGTGCTGGAAAATGGTACTGAACTGCTTTGCTTCTTGGGAAGAATAAATACCCTATTTTTTACCTGCTGGGCATGGAAAGATTCCCCCTCCTCCTTCTCCCCAGTCTCAAAAATTTGCAACTAAATTGTTCAAAAATTCATTTTCAGCAATGTAATGCCCTGGCTTGGCTTCAGATTGTAAGTCACCATGGTAAGAGTAAAGCTGTGGTTAAAGCTGGCTGACCTCTCACAGCCACCACGTTTGAACAAAACAGTTATTTGGGGGTCGGGAGGGGGGGAGTTGGGTTAGGGGCTCCCGTGGGAAGAGGAAAAATTTGCAACTAAATTGTTCAAAAATTCATTTTCAGCAATGTAATGCCCTGGCTTGGCTTCAGATTGTAAGTCACCATGGTAAGAGTAAAGCTGTGGTTAAAGCTGGCTGACCTCTCACAGCCACCACGTTTGAACAAAACAGTTATTTGGGGGTCGGGAGGGGGGGAGTTGGGTTAGGGGCTCCCGTGGGAAGAGGAAAATTAAAAAAAAAAAAAAAAAAGGAAAAAAGGAGAAGAGTAATCGCAAAAGCTCATGAATGAGAAACTGGAGGATACTACATGAAAAACTTCTCCCCCCACCACCAGAAAGACTTAAAATCCTACAGAGGTCTAAAACTAAAATACCCCTACCGCCTCCCTTTTTCAGAACCCACCAATGCAATACTTGTTTCAGTTATCTACTTTTTTTTTTTTCATTGTCTCCTGCCTCAGCCCCGCTGGGACCAGCCCAAGATGGCACCAGCTTTATGACAGCCCCACTTACATACAGTGCTGGGGGAGCAGCATTTGGCCCCTGGGAAAGAAGAATTTCTCTCATGAAACAGCAGTAAAGCACAAACGACATCAATCCTCGAGCTTAAAACACCCTGGCACGTTAGGGCCACTTACTAGGTAACAACTAGCTTGCTTTTAGGCATGTGGAACGGTGTGACTCAGACACATCTTTACATCACTGGAACGAACGTGACAATAATTTGGGGGCTATCTTAAAAAAAAGGTTGGGGTTTCTTGGGTTTGGCTTGTGCGGCTTTTTTTGTTTTTTTAATTCAGCTCTCACATGACATCTGTGCCCAAGCTGAGTAACATACACACCAGTAAGGGCAAAATCACTTTGCAAGGTCTTGAAGTATTACTACAAGTAACAGAAATGCAGGAAACTCGTGTTTTGGCTTTTGGAAGAGAAATCCAAACACACCAAGTGGTAGGGACACACTGCCTCTCATGCCCCAAACGCAACTGTCCTCCAGCAGGTGGAGAAGCATCAGTTCAGCTATTTCTGCACAGATTTTATGCTTCTCACCACGAGTTGCTACAGGTAAAACTCTAGTTCATTTGTCCAAGCGGCACCTGTAATGAATTTGGATTTTATTTTTTTTTTTTTTTTACATAAAGTTTACCTTAAGTCAATTACTTCCTTCTTCTGTAATCATTTACTAGGGGATAAAATCAAGAACTTTACTAATTTATTTCTACTCATAAGTATTCCTCTGCCTACATTACATTGACCTTCCCTGACTTGTTCTACCTACATGTAGAGGCCTACGGCAAGGAACCACTGAAGGAAAACCTCAGCTCATCCATGATCCGAATCGCCCTCTGCAGGTACCCGTCTCCATCACACCTCGCATGAAATGGAACAAATACAGGCGGCAGCTTTAACGTCTGTCATCTTAAACACCGTGCACCTCTGGGAACAGAAGCAAGAACTGGTGAATAACCTTTCGGTAGGAAAGAAATGAGAGAGGCAGTGATTGACACAGGTTGGTGATGAAGAGTTTTCTGAAGTACAGTATTTCTTTGGTTTAGTATTTTTTGCTTAAAGAACACATTGAAGCCCAGTTGCACAGGAAACTAAAATATGGATTAAATCAGAAGAGGCCTATTAAAACAATCCCTGCTTGGTTTATGTGGGAAAGATGAGTAGCATTTTAAAATGCATCCTTAAACTCTTTTACCTGCTCTCTCAGTACTACACAGCATTTTCATATTGGTGGTATGTTACTGCAACAGTGGTTAATCTGTGTTAGCTGCTGTACTGCAACTTACACTTTTTTTTGTTTTACCCTGTGGGGGGAGAAGAGAACACATATCCACACCTTTTATTTTTTCTCTTCTTTTTCCCCAAAGAAGTGGTGAATTGGTCAGATTGCCGGTTCAACAGTTAACAAAACCACAGATCAAGGTTATGACTGGCATGCCGTTGGCAATCTGAGAAGGGGATGGAGAGTGATTACCTGTTCTAGCACCAAGTAGACTGCAGAAACCCCGCCACCAAACCCACTCAATAATTTTAGTTACTTATGAATGACTTGGGCAAGGAAGCCTATTGTGGCTTTTATGCATATTATACACCTACAACTGTCCTTTTTTTCTGAAATGAGATATTCAGAGCTTAAGTCTGAAGTCAAAGTTAACTGAAAAGCAGGAGCTGGAGACAACCAAAGAACCGGGCTTGGTCTAACCACACCACAGGGACATGTATAAAGAAAGCGTAGTAGGCTTTGGCAAGCTCACGTGTCCATCCACATGAGCAAAAATCGAATGGTGCGATAAACTTTAGGAAAACTGAGCAGATTGTAAGGAAGCATAAGAAAACCATGAGAACAAAAGACTGTGCGAATGCAATACAGCTAGTGATAGTAAAGTCGCCGACGTGGCAATTTATTTTGTGACTTGCAAACTTAATTCCCTTTCTGTAGAGTCTACAGGATGATTCACTTTGTCCAAAATATTGACAAGACAACATTTGTCCGTAGCTTATGCTGACAAACAGAATTAA